GTGACATTTAACCTGCCTTTTTTCCTGAGAAACTTAATAAATTCTGGGATAGTTTCTCAGGAAAAAAGGCAGGTTAAATGTCACAGACAAGGTATAAATAAAAAGAAAGACAGTAAAAAGAAAAAAATACCCTCTCTGTTTGAACACATCCATTTACAATTGCAGTTTTCCAATTTTATCATAAAATAAGAGTAGGTTGTTTGGAAAGGACAGTGATGACACAGCAAAGTCTTAAAAAAACAATTTTAATGTCAAATATTTGCCCACTGACCTTTAACAACTCCTGAACAAGACCATTTTAATCTTTAATAAACCAAAGAATGTCTTAAAAACACTTACTGTTGTTACTTATTTTATGTCAGAGCAAGCTTACTTATAAGAAATATTTATCTAAATTATTCTCATGTTAAGCTGTGACATGTTGAGGTCATAGCTCCTCTGCAGAAAGTCAGGCGAAGGACTGATCACTCACTTGAGGTGGCCGTCGTAGTACGCAGGCGTGCCTAGAACGATGGTTTTGATAAAAAACGCCTGGTTGCCGTGACTTTCCTCGTATCCCCCAACGATGCTGAAGCCCCAGCTGCCCGGGTGGCTCCTCCGCAGCACGATCTCATGACTGCTGTGAAGGTAGCTGCAAGAAGAGAGCGTAGAGGGAAAAAAAAGGCTGACAACTGCTAAAATCTCTCAGATCAAGCTTCTGTATCAGCGTAAACCTCACCTGGGCAGGCCTAGCCACATGACCCACGATGGGGACCAGTTGGCGTCAAAGTCACTGTCGTGGGCGTGGGGCAGCAGCTCGTCGTGGTCGTGCTCCTCCACCATGCTGACCTCCAGCACCCGTAGCTGGACCGAGGGCGAAGCGGCGCTGGCCTTCAGTGTGCCCACTGCCTCGCTGTGGCTCAGGTAGGTCAGATCCTGACTGTTGATGCTCAGCAGGACGTCACCTGATTGAGGAACCGGGAGGTTTCTGAGGTGATGTTCAACTAATCTCGTTGATAGGTGTTTGAGAAGAAGCGCTCACCTCTTTTGATGCGCCCGTCCCTTGACAAGCAGCCATGGGGCTGGACGCTTGTGACGAAGATTGGCAGCTCGCCGCTCTTACTGCCACGCCCTCCTGCCACAGTCATCCCTAAAGACTCGTGGGACTCCTTCTTTACTGTGATGTGTTTCTCCTTACATGTCACACACTGTGACAGATCCTGGAAGAGAATGAAACACAAACATGCTTTAAGTGATAAAATCTACACAGGTGTACCACAAGGCTCAGGTCTTGTCCCACTTCTTTTTAGTAATGGCAAGATTTTAGATGTATATATTAATTATGGTTATGATGAGTGGTAATGGATAAAGAACCCATGGGAGCAGGGTTCTTATGAGTGGGCATATTACTCTCTCCTGAAGGACACTGAACTTTAGTTAAATATTCGCATCTGTCTAAACCACAGCGTTCTGAGCTTCTCGGGATCTTTGAAGGGTTCCCCAAGAATTCTTTCCCTTTGACTGCTCAGAGCCAGGCAATGGCCTAAGTAGTGCAACGAGRTCTCTAATTCAATGTCACAGGTATCACACAGACCATTGCCATGGAGTCCCATCACCATTTTGTGGCAGTTGAGCAGGTTTTGCCCAATTAGAACTCCAAACAATGTTCTTAAAGTTTTCCTTATCAGGGTGATGAGAGCTTTCCCAAATCTAAGATTTGGGCCATTTATCAGTTCCCATGCCTGTCTACAGTCAGCTACCTGCTAATCCAGGCTTGTAGGGCAGTGCTACAGACTGTTGCTGAAATACCTACAACAGGCTCTGGTCTTTTGAAATGGGTCTGACTGCCAGCTTTTGCAAGTTAGTCAGTTCTCTCATTACCATTAATGTCAGTATGTCCCAGTACCCATTTAACAATAACACTATTGTCTCTCCTCATTTGGTTAACTAACTGTCCAACTGTCCCAGTTGGTTGACAGTTAACAGTATAACACAGTTTAAATGATAAAATCCACACAGGTGTACCACAAGGCTCACGTCTTGTCCCACTTCATTTTTAGTACATTATTATCAAGATTTCAGATGTATATGATACTACATGTAGTTGATACAGAACTCTTATAGGTTTCATGTTATTTAGAGTCTGTTGCWTCAAGGTTTAAATGCAATGTTCTCATCACAATTTATCACAAGCCGCATTATTCACATGTAAAGACACACACACTTCCTCACTCTGTGTGTGCTGGTGCGGGACAGGTGTACAGGAACAGGACTTGGAGTAGAGCTGTGGTTAGGCAGGAAGTGTTCAGGGCAGTAAAGGTCTCTGGTCGAGCTGGATTTTGGCGGTGGGGGTGGAGTTGGTTTTGTGGGTCGACCAATCAGCAGATGGACTCGCTCTCCACTGGCCTGTAGAGGAACAGTCATCCGTGTTGGCACTTTAAAGAGAAATGTGACATAGCTACAGACTGAGATAATGGGTCCAGAAGAGTCCAGGTGTACCTGTATGATCTGAGCAGCCTGCTCAGGGGTACCGTGTCGAAGGTCCTGCTCGTTGACTGCCAGCACCCGGTCGTTGCTCCTCAGTCTGCCATCCTTCGCTGCCAGGCCTCCATCCAGCAGGTCCAACACAAACACCCCCGACTCATCCGTCCGCCGCACCAGCTTGATGCCGAGCTGCTCGGCAGAGTCTCGCTTGTGAAGCGTGATTCTCAGCGTGGCGGGGCTGGACGGGGTCCCCTCAGGTGTGGAGCAGGGGGCGTGAGGTACAGCCGGGGTGGAGGAGGAGGAAGAGGAAGAGGGAGGCGCCCGAGAGGCACAGCGACGCTCACGGAGCACGGTCAGCTGCAGGGTGGTGCAGGGCCGTGCCAGGGTGGAGCGGGCAAAACTGTGTGGCACATTACTGATGTCCACATTGTTCACCTGGGAAGAAACACGTCGAAGGAAAGGTAAATTTGGACAAAAACAAGGACAGCAGCTCCTAAAACAACCTGCTTTAGCTTTACTTTTAACTGTAATATTATTTTAAAAAATTTGATACAGATTAATAAGTTATCACAGCGTTTTTCCTTAAAAAACATTTGGTTCCTTTTAATAAGCTGAAAATAATAGTAAAGTTAAAAGTGAAAACATAAGGTTAGGCCTTTCAGTTTTAAAAATAAGTTAAATGAAGCTGAACGGCTGAATCAGACTATCTTTCCCTCATGAGTTACAGTGTCTATAAGAGTTATTCACCTTCTTGGACGTTTTAGTATTTTATTGCTGTTCTAAATCCAATCATTCATGGTCGATATAAACTAAGATTTTCTCCTAAAACAATAACAATTTAAGGTGAAATCAAATTTTTACTGAATAATGCCAAATATTTAGGAGCTTTATTTGTTGCTGGAAATCTACAAAAACATTTATAATGTTAATAAAGTTATTGGAAAAAAACTATTTGTAGGAATAAAACTATAAAACCAAATTACAGCAAACCTCAAAAACTGATGGTGTTGCTCAATTTAAACAATTTTGTTTAAAATTTTAAAAATGTTGTGCCTTTTTTGTCTCACAGGTCCTACAAAGAGCTAATTTCTAGCCTTTTTCAATCAATAAATGCTTCACCATTAAAGATTTACTTGTGCAAATTATGTGCTTTTACTGTCTGWATAAAAATGGGTGGGTTGAATGCTGAATCAGCTGGTAATGATCAACTAATTACAATCACTAACCAATTAACTAATGCTTTTCTGGTTTTTAAATGTATCTTAGGATGATAGAAGTTTTAGTACGTGGTAAATGATGAGCAAGAACTGCTTCCTCACTTGTAGTATCTGATCTCCAGCCAGCAGCCTCCCATCTCGTGCAATGACCCCGTCTCGATACACTTCCTGAATCACTATATTAATGAGCGGCGTCTCGTTTCCACCAACAACACTGATTCCCAGCTCGATGTACGGGTTTGACCGGTGGACCTCGATGGTGGTTATTTCTCCTTCAGGGAGGGAGGGCAGCTTCACACAGCCTAACGGACAAACCGGCCGTGTTAATGGTCATGAGAGGCCAAATGTCAAAAATAACTACTGAAAATTAGGTGTTTACAGCTTTTTGAATTTATGATCCAGAGGGGATTTTGTACCTTCCTCAGCAGACAGAGGTGGAGATTCAGGACAGTCCCAACCAGAGGAAGTGGAGCTGACAGAGCGGAGAAGATGGATGCAAGGGTTACTGAGGGGCCTCTTTACCCTGGGGACCACGCACTCCAACCCCACCACACCTGGAGGCAGAAAAACACACCCTTTACCATAAAACTGACGTCACCATCGACACTCAAAGCCAACCAGAAGGATCAACTCACTGTCTTCTTCATTGCTTTCTTCGAAGGCAGGGTTGTCGAGGCCGGCGTCGTCAGTCCACACGGATCCGTTGGTGTTATTAGGGCCAGTGCTGGGCGAGGGCGTTTGGTCCCTCAGGTCTGTCTGTGGGGAGTGAGGGGATGTGTGGGGGCTCGTCACCATGGCCCGCTCGTCGCCGCTCTCGCATCGTGGCCCGTCCACGCTCGTCTGCTGACTACGAGTCCCAGGACACCTTTCACCAAGCAACAGGTGTCAGTTTGTTAGTCCATCTGACGCACAAAGAGAGCCAGGTTTAACGTCACGGGAGCTGATTCAATTTCACTCAGTCCCATTTCATCCATCCCCAGTGAATCAATCCCATTTACTGTTCAGCAAACGTTACCCGTTATTTGCCTTAAATAGACCCCAAAAAAGAAGACTCTTAGGAGAAATAGGAGAAAATTCAATTAAAAATGAATTAGACTCAAAGTTTAATGTTGAGAAACCATTAAATTGGGTCCTGGATATTTACTAAAAGTGTTAGCTCTATTAGTTTGTTCACAACACCACACTACTTGTTCAGCAATATCCTGGGTAAATCCACCTTTAGGGTTAGGGTTAGGGTTAGGTCCACTTCAGTGTTCCTAAAGCTGTTCCTACATCTCCCATCCAGCTTTAACTATTGTACTAATGCAGGGCAGATACCGTCCCCATCAATATGATATCCCACAGCTGATGTTATCTGAGAGAATTATCCGGGAAACTGCGCACATATGTTGCAACATTAGCAATAGCACAGGCTTTCAATATCTTCAAATTTAAATACATTTTAAAGCACCAACTTCTCGTCATTTAACAATCAGATTATTCAAGTGACCAARAAGCTTATAGACTTTTCATCTGAGCTCCAGAGAAAAGAAAAGATCCATTGAAAAGATGGGAGGATCTCATAAAGCACAGTCATGTGTGCAGCACCTCACCAGTGAGTCTTTTATGGTACAGTACCAAGACATTCCTTTCTAAAAAAGCACCTGACAGCTCTGCAGGAATTTGTCTAAAAGCACCCGAATGAGTCTTTAGATCACAAGAAAGTGAACCCTCTGATCTGATAAAACTGTAAATCCCAGAAGAGTGTGTGGAGGAAAACCAGTCACAGCAGCTCTACCGTCAAACACGGTGATGGTAGCACCATCGTCTGGGGATGCTCTTCAGCATTGTGGACTGGGAGAGAAATGTTTTCCTAAAATACATATTTCAGGTTAAAGTAGGAGAAAGTTTATATTTTAACAGAACAATAAACTGCTGCACGAGGAAACCCTTTAAAAAGACGTCAAATCTCTCCATCCAATCAYTTCTGCAAACAGCTTCTTTCTAAAACAAATAAAGCTGTCAGGAATGTTAACTCTTTCCAAAAAGAATCTGCAGCTGCAGCATCTGCATCAATAGTTTGATTAAAAAAAGATACAATTGCAAACAGGATGTGACAGTTACTTCTATTTTTTTAGTAAAACAGCAAAAACACTGAATAAATCAGTAATAAATGTTGTAGACTTTGGTCCACCTTGACCACGGCAGGAAGCTCTGCGTCCTCTTGGCATGACTTTTAATTCACTGATCTGGGTCCAATTCCTAATCCACAACACAAACAATGCGGACGGACAATGTCACACACGGACAGCAGCTTTAATCTTTATTAAAGAAAGTCGAGTTAGTCCTCAAGGGCCTCTGAGCTGTCTTACATCACCTCTGCTTTTCAAATCAACAACACAAAGAAGCCATTGAGACACGAGGTTAATCATCTAACTTTTTGGATTCTTTCTTCAAATCTGACTTTCTTAAATTTACTTTCCATTTGACGCTACCGACTTGCTTGGAAGATCCTAAAATTACCACCCGGTGGTATTTCTCTCCTGCAGAGACACCTGACTCACGCAAAGCTTTCACCATATTAGTTTAGATAGCTTGCTAAGCTTGTTAAAGGAAATAACCCCCATCTTAAGTGTGGTGTTAGGCTGTCAGAGGATAATCAGTCTGTAATCTGGCGTCAAAACACCCGTTGATACAGCAACAGGTAAAGAAGTCTGCTTTTTGAACTGTGACAGCGATTGGAACACCGCTGAGAAGCAAAGACACTTAAATTTTACCAGTCGAGGCCAAAATGAGATCGATGCTTAAGCTTTCAATACTGCAGCAACAATCTAATAATGTTTATGTTCCTTTTTAACTGTCTAACGAGCTGGGGAGCAACGAGAGCAGGAATCGTAAGCAGATACAGAAAGGCAAACAAATCGGTGAGGAAGATGTCTTATTCTTCGTCCCGCTGGTGGTCCTACTCACCACAGGCCCGGGTTGCCCTTGGCGGTCTCACAGAAGAAGTGGTTGAACAGATCTCTGGTGTTGAAGTTGCCCAGCATGGTTGTGAAATGAGAACATGAACCTTTGACTGCGGTAGGGAACCACTAATCCCCCCACCCGTCACATGACCTGCAGCTCCATAATCCCCACCGGGTCTCATGGCACCTGGTCCAACCGGGCCAATGGAGATGGGGATGACGGGTGGCGGCTGATTATCGCCTGCCGTCGAAGGTGAAGCCGGTGCAAATTTTTGCTCGTGTCTGTGTTTGTTTGGCCGTCTGTTAGCAAAATAAGTGCTAACACAAACATAAAAACTGCACTGACTCAGTCAGATTTGCAGATGTTGTGCTAAAATTTGGAGTGGTAGTAGCTGATACTGATCCACAACACGTATTCTGAGCACAAACTGATTTGTTTTTACAACTTCATCATTAAACTACTGGAATCAATGCTGTTTGTTAGCAATGTGTTGCTAGAACTCAGCTAATTTTACATTATGTAGAGCTAAAATTTGACATAGTAGTAGCTGAGCGTCATGCAAAACTTTGACGTTAACTCTTGTGCCAACAGTGTCTGTTAGCAAAATAACTCATGAACCACTGGACTGATTTTAATGAAACTTTCAGGCAGTGATTTGTAGATGCACATCTACAACTGACTCAAGTCAAGATGGCCGCCACAGATAATCTACAACTTGCACTATATTCAGATAATGAGTATCTCCCAATGTTGTATAAAGTACGACAAAGTGATACTTGAGTAAAAGTACATGTATCTTACCAAAAAATTACTTTGGTAAAAGTTAAAGTCTCTTTTAGGAATATTATTTGAGTAAAAGTCTTCAAGCATCTGATATTTTTTGTACTTAAGTATTAAAAGTAAAAGTATTGATTTAAAATGAGCAGATAGATTTTCTGTAAGGACATTTATTAAAAGGTGACCTCCCCCCCAAAAGATCCAGAAATGACTGTTGTATTAAAATAATCAATTTATGTTAAATTTAGGATGCACTAGTCTGTTTCAGCTTATAAACATATATGAAGGGTTCCCAAAACTTTTCCACAAAATGAAAATCTATCTGAGGGCTGCGGCCAAATGCAATAATATAATTCATCAAATACTTCTTAAGTACAGTCCTTTTATTTTAATGATTATGTCCTGCTGGAGTGTGACATGATTTGTTTGTGTACAAACTAATACGCTATCAGAGTTTTATATATTTATACTTCTCATTCAACCACAATTAAATTCACTCCATCTAGGAGGCACAATTTATATGGATAGTATTTATTTTTTTGAATAACAAGTTGGAATATAAACAAGCAAAAATGAAATAAAAGTAACAACTTTCTACTTCTTGCCTTTTTTTTTAAATGTAAGGAGTAGAAGTAAAAAGTAGGCTGAAAAATAATTACTCAAGTAAAATACAGATACCCAAAAATTCTACTTAAGTACAGTAAAGAAGTATTTGTACTTTACAACTCTGGTATCTCCACATGCCGTCATTCTGTCATTTGTTTTGACCAGAGATGCACCGATGTGAAAATTTCAGCCGATATCGATATCCAAAATAATTATTGCTGTTGTGGCCAATAACCGATRTTTACTGATATTACACAAATACACAAATTATATTATACATATACGCACAAACACACTTGGGTCTTTTTTTGATACTGTAAATACGTGACCAGACCTCTGACACAGCTCCCTACTTCAGTTATTCCTGGTTACGCTGCATCAATATCACTATCATGATCAAACAGAAGCCACTCAACCAACAATCTCCCCTCCTAAAACAGAAACACAAAGATAAAAAGAGGGAAATCAATATCGGRCGTTAAAATCGCCCCAGTTTTACATATCGGACCGATACCGATATGAATGCCGATATATCGTGCATCCCTAGTTTTGACCTCTATGCGCACAGGTTTCACACATTCATCCTTTCATGTGATCAGCCGTCTTACCTGTGTTTGAGGTGAGCCTCCAGGTCACACCGCGGCATGCCGAGGGAGCAGACAGGACTCAGAGGGCAGGACACGGACAGCTTGTCCAGCAGCTTGTGGACCAGGATGCTGGACCTGCGGCACGCCTGCAGCTGCAGCCGGGCCCTGTCCAGGGGGCAGAAGTCCCTCTCCTGGAGGAAGCTGCGCAGGCAGCGGGCGCAGAAGGTGTGTCCGCACGGCGTGTCCAGCGGCTGCACCAGCGGCTGCAGGCAGATGTGGCACACCAGGTCGTCGTCCACCTCCAGGCGGTAGTTGTAGAGGTGGTTCTCCCAGCCGCGGTGGATCTGGCCACACTCTGGACACAGAGACTCCAGCGCCGGCTCCACCGGCCCGGCTACATCCACCTCGCAGCCCGGGCTGCCCATCGTTTCTCCCTCAACACGGCTCAGCTTTGGCACAAATGACTCCAGTGAGGCTGCAGAGGGCGGGACGGGGCGCTCCTATCCCATACGGCTCGAGCAGGTTGCAGAGAGGACAAATGCCCTCCAGGGGCTGATGGCGCATAACCCTGTAGGTCAGAGGTCACAGCACGAGAGTTCAACAGCTGTTTCTGCAAAACAAGTGTCTGATTATGTGAATTTATTCATGCGGCAAATGCTTTGTGTGCACGTGTCTCCAAACTGTGTGTGTGTGAATCGGCTGAGATTATGTATTGCTGCTCCTGTTCGCTAATCTGACAGTATAATCTCTCTTTTGCTCTCGCCTGCTCCAATCTTCCAATTCTGCGGCGAGGGAATTATCTGGGATTGAAGCAGAGAGAGGACACAGATCAGAGAACGTGGGATTGGGGAAGCAAAGGAGGAGGCAGAGAGTCGCGGTGGCAGAGTGGCGAAGAAGATTTGAAGGTGGGTGAAAGGGCTCAGCTGGATTTGTAAACGGGCACAAAACAAGACGTGGTAGCAGGAGGGAGGAGCGGAGGCAGATGTGGACGGTAATAAAACTTTAAAAAGGCAGGGATTCTTTATATTTATCTCCCTCCATCCAAAACAGAGCAACAGATGATAAAAGTTGCCTTTGTTACCAAAATACCTCATGAACTGGATATAATTTAATGAAACCCTCAGAAAATAATCCCTGGATGTACCTCTACAGCTAAATTCCATTTAAATTATGATAGCCACCACAGCTAATGAGCGTAACTCAGTTGGTTTTTCCAGATATTGAGCTAAAATCCTCATTTTTCAGCATAAAATGTGCCTTAATGTGTCTGTGACATGCAGACACTTCAATTATAAAAAGTCAAAGAAAACTTCTACATACAGTATGTAAGAAACTTGGCATAATCGACACAATTTTATCCATTTTGTCACATAACTGGCATATTTTCTTTTGATCGTGCCTCAGCCAGAGTGAAACAGGAAGTGACATCAAAGGGGAATTCTTTAAGAAAGAAAACTTCCTTGTCTTTATTTAATTTTTTTGGAACAGTATTATTTTCACTTTGACTCTTCATCTCTCTGATAAAAAGTCCAAATCTAAATCTAAAGAAACATCAAATTCTTCTCTGCAGTCTGTTGTCAGCTGTTGTAGCAACGCTCTGTTCTCACGCAGACATTTCCCCTTTGACATCACTTCCTGTTTCTTCACATACAAATATCTCAACAACTGTTCGTCTCAGCAGTGTGATTTTTTTAGCAGTATGTTATCAATGTTAACGTTACAAAGATGTATTCATATTTATTACAAAAAAAATTGACGTCCCAGGCACTTTAAAGCATTGGACAGTACATTCAAGGAATGCTAGGCCTTTAGCTACGCCTCAGGTTTTGCAATCCTCCACAACAGAACGTGAGGACGTCCCTGAGGCTAACTCAGCCCCTGAAGGCCAGCAGAGGGCGTGCCTGCCTCCCTCACTCAGCAGGCCAGCCAAGCTACACTGACTACCTGCCTCTGTTCCAGCGAAAAGAAAAAAAGAAGGGACTGCTCCTGTCTCCATGACGACCTGCATCCTGTTCTGTTCGGCGGGGCTTGACATTCAGAGTGTAGCCAGCGAAGGATGCAGAGGAGGCGCAACAACAGATGCACTTCTCCCAGCAGGATGCTCCGCTTCCTCCATGGCCTGCAAAGCCTGTCACACTGAGAGGATGAGGGTGCTGAAAGTCCCTCTGCTTTTTTCTATTTTTATACTTTGTTCCTGCATTTGATCTGATCTCTAATGCTTTTTAAAAAAATTATATTACTTTTACTATTATTTCTGTGACGACCTGTCCCTCCTGTCTCCTTGGCCACCAGACCGGTAGTTCCTTTCTGCCTCCTTCAAAGTATACGTGCTCCTGTCTGTCTGTGACTGGCTGCTTCTGTCTCTGTCCCGCAGCTGGACATGAATTATTCATGAGGACACAAGGCTTCTCTGTTTCTATAACAAAGCTGTGAGATCACCACATCACACACACAGACTTGTAGACATGTAAAAGCAAACACGCACGCTCAACGGATCAGAGCTTTTACGGCTCTGAGAATAATCTGTGAACTCATAAGCACTCAAATCTGTTTTAAGGTGACTGTGCTGCGCCGTATTTCACTACAGAAGTGATGTGCATGTTTGTGAAATGTCATTTTTTTTTATTATGGGTCCATGCAGCGCCATGCTGTTATTGTCATGCCTTCATGGGCACTGCATTTATAAACGACTTATCTTACATCTGCTTCATGAAGGAATTTAAAAAAAGGAAAGAAAAAGATGAGGTAAAATGATGTTTTAGGTCCCAGATTCAGCTTAGCCCACATTTTCATAAAACCCCATCTTTTCATCTTTTATAAGGTTGCAAAAAGAGGCTTGATGCTCTTCTGCAAAAAATCTGCTTTTTTAAAAACCACACAACAGCCAGACAATAAAAACAGACACTGGTTTAAATGACATTTGCAATCTTTTTCATTGCCATTGTCCTGATTTACGTTGGCAGCCCACAAACTGCAGTGTCATATTCCGATTGTTTAGACAATATCATTGTTTAGATCAATGCACACCCTCCTCCTTTATGTCCCCCTCCCCTCCACCCCCCCTTTCAGCTGTCTGACTTCATCCCATCCTCCAGAAGCGGAAGAAAAAAAAAAAGGAGCGAGGACAGAAGGACAAGAAGAGGCGCCAGCATCAATGCAAAGCCAGCCTCATGCAGGCGGTGAACGTCTGCAGATGTGATGTTACCTTCTCCGGCCGCTCCTCCACGCCGTCCGCCCGGAGAGCCCCTGAAGCGGGGAGCAGTCCTCAGCTGCGGGACTTCAATCACGTATTCACCGCAACCRACGGAGCGGCTCCGCAAACGCGCACGAAAACGCCCCCCTCCCCTCCGTGCCTTTGGCGGGTGCTGATCCCGCCCACCTGCTGTCAGTCAAAACACGGAGGGCGGAGTCTACCGCTGTCATTTTTGAGCCGAATCAGAGGTGGCCTCTACAATGCCTGCTCAAAACGTCCTGATGCATCTCAGTAATCCAGGTTAAAAAATCAAAAAGAAAAAAAATTGTATAGGTCTTCTGGACGGGTTCTTCTCTAATGAAACGTTTCGTCTCTCCTCCAAGAGACTTCTTCAGTCTGAGAGTTTCAGGC